ACCCAGATACTCTTTTGTGAAACATTCAGACACGAGCGGGCACCTGACTAGAACCACCGACCTTCCCGTAAATTAGCTTGATAGATTCTCACATACAAAGAATGCAAAAGTCATGATTGGATTTCAACTACAGCAGTAAATGAAAGATAGTTTGAAGTCGACGGCCTTATCCCGACTCTGCCACTTTATATGTACCTCCATCAGACTCACTATAGAAGATATTGTAATTGTCTGACCTTAGTTTATACTCTATAACTTTCAATATTATTTTCTTTTTCAGAAACATGAAAACTGCTATACAGAATGTCTGAAATGAGAAAAACGAGTTTTAATTTAATAACGACAAAATAATCGTAAATTCAACAAAGAAGCATTCGAAATGACGCAATGATCATGATTTGATTTGAATGCCTTTAGTTCGAGACGAGAAGGGTCTTTAAACATTGCCTTTTTTCAAAATCTATGTTTTGGGTTTTCGTATCCCCGATTTCAACCGAAACCATTTGAACAACTAATTGGTAGAAAGTCATGTAAATTTCATCACATTTAGTCAAGTAGTTACTGAGCGGATGAGATTGAACACACATGTGTACGACAGACGGACGAATAGCCATCGGGCTAATGAGCTCACAGAGATTTAAAAGTCTATGTAACATTCATACATTTTACCTAGTATATATAGAAAATATCGGAGTCTAAACTGTAACCGAAATCTGAGTATAAACTGTAACAAAATCGGATAAAAATCGTTAGGTCTATGCTGTAACCTTGCACAAATCACCTCGCTCTATACTGTAACATTGATTATTTTTTCAAACGCATTTAACGAACAGGAAAATAGGTTCAACTGGTCATTTACTTTAATAAACGTTTCCAAACCTAAAGGACTAACGTTTTGCAGATTTACTTTTTCTAGGCATGCATAAATAATGTCGAAATTGGAGAAAAATGCGTTGGTCTCTCGATTCAAATTTTCAAACTGTCAAATCTGCATATTTATGAGACGATATAACGATAAATCTGCGGTGCAGAGTCTGAAGAAATATATGACTAGATACCGGATTCTGTTCCTTACAAGCAAAGCACAAAAACATCTTTTAGAAACTAAACTACTTGTAGTATGGACCGGAATAAAAATCACCAACCTGTCTTCCCAACAAATAATCCTCCATCTTTAAAATTCTATACTGTAACCGAAAAACGCGATACTGTAACACGTTCCCTACGGTGACCTGAGCATAATCGTTTTTCATTGTCCGCAGTTTCTCTAAAAAAACATCTCCTAAATCACTCGATGGATTGCGACCAAACTTCACATGTGTCCCATGCATAAGTACTTTAGGACACCTGTGCTTAAAATAGACTTTTAAAATGAAATCCTCTTCTCAGATACTACAATGCCAAGAGCTATATAATATTTTGGGGATGCATCATCATCTCTTTGTGGTCCACTACCAAAGTTATATATAGCATACCCGTTGGGAACAAATAACAACAATGCACAGATAATAATGAGCCGTGTCACGACAAAACCAACATAATGGGTTTGCAACCAGCATGATTCCAGACCAGCCTGCGCATCCGCACAGTCTGATCAGGATCCATGCTGTTCGCTTACAAACCCTATTACAAGTAGAGAAACTGATAGCGAACAGCATGGATCCTGATCAGACTGCGAGGATGCGCAGGCTGGTCTGGATCCATGCTGGTCGCAAACCCATTATGTTGGTTTTGTCATGACGCGGCTCATATGTATATTTGGCATGCAGCATTGCCTAGTGGACATCTACCAAACATTCTTTAAGTCAGTCTACTGAGATAAAAAATGGCAACGTCCTGGGGTCACTTAGTTTACATAGTCTTCAAAATCTTCTCAATGCTCGGAGTTAAGATATTTGGTATGTAGTATCACTTTGTTGTCCTCAACAAAACTTGCGTAAATGTCAAAGTTTATTTTATAGACTTGAATAGTATAACATTAAATACACAGAGTTTAGATATTTGTCACATTTAGAAGCAGACATCTACACATATTTTAAAAATTATAATTCATTGGTAAAAAAATAACAAACCAAATGTGACCTCATTACTTAGATTTTGATATCTTCCAGTAATAAATATCTTAGGTGAGCGATCCAGAGCTATCATTGCCTTTTGTCATTAAAAACTATTGAAACGTAACAAAAACCGCGCATGCGCAATGAAGCAGATGATCTAATAGCAATGAAAATTTTTATTTTCTGTTTCAGTTTTGATTAGAACGGTAACCTAAGTATTTTGAAGATTGAAATTTGGTGGATGGCATTTTTTAAAGATTAAGGTAATTTTTTACAGACTTTGTTGCAGTCTTTTAATAATTTAATATACTCATTATAATTTACAGTCTATACAGTATGGATTTTAGCCAATATTAAGACGAAAAACGCACTTTTTTAAAAAAAAAATTATTCAAGTTTGATTCTGTTTAATTGGCAATACATATAGGCGATATATAAGCTTCTCGCAGAGTCTGATCTGGATTCCAATAGGTATTTATAGTAGTATTTTAAATAGATAAATTAAGTGGCTTCCCATGTAAAGATATAATTAGATTTGATACTAAATTTAGAACAAGGACGGTTATTCCAGTTTTATTAATAGAGGAGTTGCTGGCTATCTCAACGCCAATCTCCAGTCAACTCCGCTCAATTATTACTGTAATTTTATTACATCATGGAGTTGTATGACCGTTTATAATTTGCCATTTTGTAGTATTTTGTTTTTACATATTATTTGCCATTTTGTATTATTTTGTATGTATGTACTGTTTTCTGTTGTCACATGCCCATATGGGCCCTGACTTATTCAACAAACCTTTAAACCTTTAAACCTACGCAGTGGGCTCCCCTTACAGGCTTGGTCGTAGCGTAACCGGTGCGCGGAGTTTGTCTCAACGCGTAATAGAAATTGAATTATCCATAGGTACCACATATACCTTGTCTAAATGTTTTGGTTTTTTTATTATTTGATATTAACAAAATTTTAGTTCCTATTAAAGTTAACTTCTTCCCTTTATGCATTTCTGAGTTGTGACTCCTTAAAAGAGAAAAATTAAGCATTATTATTTACCCAATCTGCTTATCATTTTTGACCTAATTTTTAGGAAAAAAAATGCAAAGAACTTGTGATGCATTATCATGTTTGCTAAAAATGGCTTAAGACTAATGGCATCAAGCATATAACAGATGTGGTTCCTTAAAAGGTAAAGATTTTTGCCAAAATGTGGTTCCTTAAAAGATAAAGATTTTTGCCAAAATGTGGTTCCTTAAAAGGCAAAGTTTTTTGCCAAATTGTGGTTCCTTGAAGGGCAAAGATTTTTGCCAAATTGTGGTTCCTTTAAGGGCATTTTTTTGGCAAATTGTGGTTCCTTGAAGGGCAAAGATTTTTGCCAAATTGTGGTTCTTAAAGGTCAAAGATTTATGCCAAATTGTGGTTCCTTAAAGGGCAAAGATTTTTGCCAAATTGTGGTTCCTGAAAGGGCAAAGATTTATGCCAAATTGTGGTTCCTGAAAGGGCAAAGATTTATGCCAAATTGTGGTTCCTTGAAGGGCAAAGATTTTTGCCAAATTGTGGTTCCTTGAAGGGCAAAGATTTTTGTCAAATTGTGGTTCCTGATAGGTCAAAGATTTATGCCAAATTGTGGTTCCTTGAAGGGCAAAGATTTTTGCCAAATTGTGGTTCCTGAAAGGGCAAAGATTTATGCCAAATTGTGGTTCCTTTCAGGGCATTTTTTTGTGTGCCAAATTGTGGTTCCTTGAAGGGCAAAGATTTTTGCCAAATTGTGGTTCCTTGAAGGGCAAAGATTTTTGTCAAATTGTGGTTCCTGACAGGTCAAAGATTTATGCCAAATTGTGGTTCCTTGAAGGGCAAAGATTTTTGTCAAATTGTGGTTCCTGACAGGTCAAAGATTTATGCCAAATTGTGGTTCCTTGAAGGGCAAAGATTTTTGCCAAATTGTGGTTCCTGAAAGGGCAAAGATATTTGCCAAATTGTGGTTCCTTGAAGGGCAAATATTTTTGTCAAATTGTGGTTCCTGAAAGGTCAAAGATTTATGCCAAATTGTGGTTCCTTTAAGGGCAAAGATTTTTGCCAAATTGTGGTTCCTTGAAGGGCAAAGATTTTTGCCAAATTGTGGTTCCATGAAGGGCAAAGATTTATGTCAAATTGTGGTTCCTTGAAGGGTAAAGATTTTTGCCAAATTGTGGTTCCTGAAAGGGCAAAGATTTATGCCAAATTGTGGTTCCTTGAAGGGCAAAGATTTTTGCCAAATTGTGGTTCCTGAAAGGGCAAAGATTTATGCCAAATTGTGGTTCCTTGAAAGGGCAAAGATTTTTGCCAAATTGTGGTTCCTTGAAGGGCAAATTTTTTTACCAAATTGCGGTTCCTGAAAAGGCAAATATTTATGCCAAATTGTGGTTCCTGAAAGGGCAAAGATTTTTGCCAAATTGTGGTTCCTGAAAGGGCACAGATTTATGCCAAACTGTGCTTCCTTAAAGAGCAAAATTTATGCCAAATTGTGGTTCCTTTAAGGGCAAAAATTATGTCAAAATGTCCCATGAAGGGCAAAGTTGTATGTGAAAACGGTTCCTTAAAAAAAAAATTGTTAAATGTGATTCCTTGAAGGGCCGTTACATTATATACTATATATACTAGTATATAATGTAATGGGAATGGACTTAGAATTCATTTCTGACTTACGATAAATGTTTTCTACCATCAAATACATATTTTGTGAACATTCAATGAGCCGTACCCCTTTGTAATCCCAGTGGTAGGTCGCTGATTTCAAACCACTTGCACCTCACTACGTGAAACGGGGAACTCGGATTCTAGCTTACATAATGTCGGTAGTTCAACTAAGGTGGTGCCCGTTTGTGTCTGACATAACGCTTGGGCATGTGAGTTCTTCCGCCATATAACTTTTACAGTGTTGGTGCAACGTAAAACCCAACCAAAAACAAAACACACACAACCTGGTTCCGTTTGATTAATCATTGTATATGGTATACATATTTTATACTATGATGTAAGAATAAATTAAATAAAGCTTTTACGGTATACATTATCGATTATATATATACACATTTGACAAACCATTTCATGATAACGCGCGCGCTGGTGTGTTAACATACGTACACATATCATCCAAGAACATCTAATATTTTATATATTTAATGCAGCAAATTATCCTATATCGTAATATCACAAATTAAATTTGGCTGAAGTAATCTGTGTAATATATCATGATGATTGGCGGAGAGAATTCTTACAAATGACAATGGCCATCAGTGATGGCATGTGTCGCCTCATGATAGCCATACTTCGGCAAAAATCATACAACCTAAAAACCTGTCTAAGATGCACAAGAATTTGAGCTATCGCTATCGAGAAATTAAATTAGTGGTATATCTAGAGTACTCCGAACAAATTGGATAACGCTGACGATATGCTACTGCTCATTCCTGAAAAGAGAAACAGTCCGGGGATGGACAAACGGACGGACAGACAGACAAAGGAGAAGTGATCCCTATATGTCGCCACTACTCCGTAGAGGCGACACAAAAATGGGGTTATGCTTGTGATGGTATAATGGAAGTCCAGTCGAATAGTGGTTCTATTAATAGGGAGAATAGAAAACCCGATTTCTAAATTTAATTCCTGTTTTAGCTCACCTGAGCATAATCGTTTTTCATTGTCCGCAGTTTCTCTAAAAAAACATCTCCTAAATCACGCGATGGATTGCGACCAAACTTCACATGTGTCCCATGCATAAGTACTTTAGGGCACCTGTGCTTAAAATAGACTTTTAAAATGAAATCCTCTTCTCAGATACTACAATGCCAAGAGATATAAGATTTTGGGGATGCATCATCATCTCTTTGCGGTCCACTACCAAAGTTATATATAGCTAGTATACCCTTTGGGAACAAATAACTTCGCCTCGGGGATCACAAAGTTTATTATAGAAAATACATTTAAGTCTTCTTTTGTGAAACAACAATGCACAGATAATTGAGCCGTGTCACGACAAAACCAACATAATGGGTTTGCGACCAGCATGGATCCAGACCAGCCTGCGCATCCGCGCAGTCTGATCAGGATCCATGCTGTTCGCTTACAAACCCTATTACAAGTAGAGAAACTGATAGCGAACAGCATGGATCCTGATCAGACTGCGAGGATGCGCAGGCTGGTCTGGATCCATGCTGGTCGCAAACCCATTATGTTGGTTTTGTCATGACGCGGCTCATATGTATATTTGGCATGCAGCATTGCCTAGTGGGACATCTACCAAACATTCTTTAAGTCAGTCTACTGAGATAAAAAATGGCAACGACCTGGTGTCACTTAGTTTACATAGTCTTCAAAATCTTCTCAATGCTCGGAGTCAAGATATTTTGTACGTAGTATCACTTTGTTGTCCTCAACAAAACTTGCGTAAATGTCAAAGTTTATTTTATAGACTTGAATAGTATAACATATTTAATTAGGTTTTCTTATGTGAAATTAAATACACAGAATTTAGATATTTGTCACATTTAAAAGCAGACATCTACAAATATTTTAGAAATTATAATACATTGGTAAAAAAATAACAAACCCACTATATCTTAGGTGAGCGATCCAGAGCTATCATTGCCTTTTGTTATTAAAAACTATTGAAACGTAACAAAAACCGCGCATGCGCAATGAAGCAGATGACCTATAATAGCAATGAAAGGACTTTTTATTTTCTGTTTCATTTTTAGCTCGACTATTCGCAGAATAATCGAGCTAATGCAGTCACCCATTTGTCGGCGTCGGCGTCGGCGTCGGCGTCCCTGTGGTTAAGTTTTTGTATGTAAGCTGGTATCTCTATAACTACTGAAGGGAATGGATTGAAACTTCACACACTTGTTCTCTGTGATTATCTAAGATGATTGGCACAAGTCCCATAACTCTGATTTGCTTTTTTTCATAATTATGCCCCTTTTTCGACTTAGAAATTCTTGGTTAAGTTTTTGTATGTAAGCTGGTATCTCCTTAACTATTGAAGGGAATGGATTGAAACTTCACACACTTGTTCTCTGTGATTATCTAAAATGATTGGCACAAGTCCCATAACTCTGATTTGCTTTTTTTCATAATTATGCCCCTTTTTCGACTTAGAAATTCTTGGTTAAGTTTTTGTATGTAAGCTGGTATCTCCTTAACTACTGAAGGGAATGGATTGAAACTTCACACACTTGTTCTCTGTGATTATCTAAGATGATTGGCACAAGTCCCATAACTCTGATTTGC